ACGCTGAAAAAACTGTACAATTGCCCCAAAGAGGCAAGCGCAAAGCTTCAGCAGCTCCTGCAGCAAAAATATCAAAGAAGCGTCGCACTGTGGGTGCTGCGCGTGGGGTTGATGCTGCTGAGCCTCCTGCAGCACCTCGCACCCACACCACGCGCAGCGGCCGAACAGCAACTCTATATAATTAATTTGTATGAGAGAATATTGTCGCAAAGGTCTATAGAGCAATCCACCACAAAATCTCGTGATAATAGCTATTGTATGCGGCTCTATAGCTTCATTTTTGCAGGTGCTCATTAAGGTGGTTCGGCGCATCACGCGAATCCGCGCATCACGCGCACGGACACGGTACCGGTGGGGCGCAAGCGGTCTCCCAATTTTTCTTGGCGCAGACGATGCGCCGTTCCGACTGATACGCCAGGAACGTCAAATCAGCTTAAGTGACGTGAACGGCAGGAAAACACCACAAACATCGAGAACTCGATTATAGCCACGCTACACGCCTCAGCACTTACCTTCAAGACGCGCTGACTTGCGTCGAGCGTACTCATAGCCAGTCCGTTGCGGCAGACGTCGTGAAGATCATCATCCATGGCACGCTGAGATCATACTGAAAATGCAATACGCCTCTGACCCCAGCACGGAGTGCGACGCGCTTAGCATCCTGCAAACCGAAACCAAGGCTACCCCGGACAATACAGTTCAAATACTCGATGCCGTCGAGCACGAACTCAAGGACACCACTGAAACCGTCTACGCTATCGCTACAAGCGTATAAAGGAACGTCAGCGCTGGAGAAGAAGCAAGGGCAGCAGCCAAGGAGGCGGTGGAGGTAGGCAAAGGCCAACCTAGAGATGACGAGACAGATCAAGAACGCAGAAACACAGACAGGTGACACGATCAGCTACGCTGCTATGGTAGCTAGGGTGCCACACTAGCAGGTCCACCGAATACACAAATTCCTAGAACACCGTCAGTGCAGACGCAATGACTATCCGGCGATACGACATTACGCTGTGCAAAGCGGATACAGAGGGGTGGTCGAAGGAAGGAGCGTTCGAAGCAGGCATAACGTCGTATGATAGCGCACATAGGGTTCCAACAGACCACACCAGAACACGTAACAATCAAATTGTCGCAATGTCCCGTAACGCTATGGACTCCAATTTGTATATTAAGTAATTGTAACGGTTGAGAGGAGAAGCAGATCACGTGTTGTTGGCGGTGGTCTGGTGCTACTTCCTCATGTTGTTGAGCACCTCTTATAACGTATTCCACAGGCGACCGCCGCACACGGGCGAGCGCCGCACCCCACCAAACTTACGCACCTTATTTAACGTCTAACTTAACAACGTTATAATAATGTATAACGTGCTTCACAAGCGAGCGGCGCACCCAAGCGAGCGGCGCACTCTCCCCACCAAAACGCTTGCGCAGCGACAACACGTAATGCCTCAACAACACCAAACCCAGAGACTCTATACTGAAGCTGACGTACAGCTTGCTATCTTAGATCTTTAAAAAGAGTAGATTAAGAGTATATAGCTTGCTAAGAAAGTCTATAAGGTCCCTTAAACTATAATATAATAATAATATATTAGAATACACTCTTAATATAATTATAAGCTAAAATTAAAATGCCTTACAAAGCTAGAAGAGGAGGCAATTATATAGTATATACTTAAAGAGAGTTTATATAGAATACTGCCCTTAAAGGTGCACGTATAAGATATGGCTAATAGACTGCTAAGAGAGCGTGGTGGGAAGCCTATAGGCAAGAACTAGGTTAATAACTTTATTAAGCGTACACTAGAGCTGCAAACGCGATGGAGCCGTCCGTATGATCGCTAGCAAGCTGCCTGCAAGGACCTAGCGATTATCTAGCTATAGTTTAGCCTAGTTTAATTAACAAAGGCAAAGTATAGTATTATAGATAAGGACACCTAGAACTTTAATAAGTCTAGCTTTATAATAGGCAAGATATCCTCTTAGCTTATTATTACAGGCTTAGAGAAACCTAGGAAATAGAAGAAACTATAACCTAGTAATTATAAGTAGGTTACCCTAGTATAAGGTATTGCTATAATAGGGTATATAATCCTACCCTTCCTTATCTTTACAGGCAAGGTCCTTATCTCCTCCTAGTTTACTAGTCTACCTTATAACTAGGTTGTTATAGTCTCTCCTACTAGCTAGACTAATAACAACGTCGCGCTAGCGTAGCTTAAGCATTTCAACGTCTATACAAAGGCGTCCTCTGCTAGGGCGTATAGGCTGCTTATTATTAATAGTTATAAGAGCTACTGCTCAATAGAATTCCAGGACTACTGCAAGGAGAACAAGATTATCACTCTCTGCATGCCACCACACTCATCACACATCCTGTAGCCTCTTAACGTTGTCCCCTACTTGCTATTAAAGCGCTACTACAGCAACAGGATCTCGCTCTTAGCACGCAGCTATATCTACTATATTAACAAAGAAACCTTCCTCCTAGCCTTTAAAGTAGCTTTTAAGAAGATGTTTATACTAGAGAATATTTATATAGGGTTTTAAGGCGCTAGACTAGTCCTGCATAACCCTAAGGTTGTGTTATTAAAGCTTAATATACAGCTGCGCACGCCAACGCCACCTGCACCAGGCACTGTCGCCTAGGAGGCGCAAACACTGCGCAACACCTGCAAGATAGAGGCGCAATCCACGCTAATTCAAAATCGCATACAAAACTATTAGGGGTCTCTAGCAAGTTTATTAGATAAGCAGGTTAAGTAGCTAAGTAAAGGCACTTAGTAGATAGCTTATAATATAGTATTAGTGCAGGAGGAAATAGGCTACCTTTAAGATGCTGTTAATACACTTATAAAGTGTAAGACCTATAAGAGGCAGTATATACACGTAGAGGAGACCCTAATAGTTAGTAAGGTATCTAACTTAATTACTAAAAAGGAGGGTAGTAGTTGTAAGGACAGCAAGACGCCTGCAAAGAGGGTGCGCGCAGAGAGGCGCTGCAGCTGTTGCAGCAAGATTAGGCATAACTCCTGCACCTGCAAGGTAGAAATAGTGGATGTAGATAATAGCAATGCTTATAAATAATATTATCCTGTTACGTATATTATAGGAATTTGTGATGGTGTTGCACTACGTCGCGGTGCGTGCGCTGCGCTGGAGAAAGTGCGCCGCTCGCTTGGGTGCGCCGCTCGCTTGTGAAGCACGTTACGTGAAATTAGGCAATTTTTAAATATTTAATACTAACGTAGATTATCACCGAGCCAGCCATATCACTGAACTAGCCACTTTCTCTTAGCATGACCACCTTTTACCCTAACACAACATGCCTTTACAATAACAACTTTAGAATACTACTAGAGAAGGCAGAGTTATCCTTGCTATCTAGGCCTTCTATGCTAGCCAATTTCGCAGTATCTATAGTGCTGCTAGAGCATTGAACATACCTTATTAGCAGGTCTCTAATCGCCTTTGCAATATTATGTTTTAACTAGACATACATGCTAATTGCTAGAAACTTACTATACTAGAGGAGCAGACAATTATCTAGTATATACTTAACGTAATCGGCCATTGAGTCGGCCAGGCAATTGAGCCGGCCACCTTTGCCAAGATCACACCTCATTCCACCTCTTATCTAATGTCTTAACAACCTAATCTTAGATTACTTCCTTGTAAGGATAGGATAATCCTTGCTATCTAAGCTATAAAATCTAACGCGTTAATAAGCTAACAGCGCGCTGCTGCTATCTATAACGTTCCTTAATTAACCCTCTAAGACTAACACGCTAAAACCACCTCACAACGCGATTCCTACTATAGCAGATTAAGGCTTACTAAGCCTAAAGAGGAGGTGGTTATACAATACATAAGGAAGCTTAACGCGCGAGGCTTTGCCCCTACGCTAAGCTACGTACGTGAAATGGCCAATTAACTACTAGCTGCCTATGGTGGTAGTAAGGTTAGAGAAAAATAGGCTAGGCACCTTGTAAACTAGAAGCCTAAGATTAAGTCTTAGGTAACTAGACAGCGCGATTACTAGAGAGTCTTGTGCAGTGATCTAGCTATTATCAGCCCCTAGTTCAACCTTGTGCGCAACGTCAAAGCTAAATATAGCATCTAGGACTAAGATACCTACAACTTTAATAAGACTAGCTTCTAGATAGGTGTTAGAGGGTCTGTTAAGGTAGTAACAGCGTCTAAGAGGCGTCTTAAGCTACTTAGAGTCTAGCCTAGTAACTATAAATAGGCAATGTTAATTGCTGCAATTAATGCTATAGGGTAGGTTATCCTGCCCTTTATTATCTTTAAAGCAAAGAACTATAACTAAGCCTAGTATCACAACCTAAAGGATTAGCGTATTAGTGTTAGCAAGAATAGCTAGACAACAAATAAACTGGGCCTAGAGTGGCTGAAGCACTTCATCCAGCATACAACAGCCCAGACAGTGGGTAGCCACCAGCTGCTAATTATTGATGGCCATGAGAGCCACAAGTCGCTTGCCTTCCAGGATCTGTGTGAGGAGAACAAAATTATTACTCTCTGTATGCCTCCTCACACCTCCTATATCCTACAGCCACTTAATGTGGGCTGTTTTGCCCTATTAAAATAAGCATATAAGACAGAAATTAATATCTTAGTAAATAGCTATATTACTTATATTAATAAGAAAGCATTCTTAGCTACCTTTAATTAGGTATTTAATAAGGTGTTTTTATCTAATAATATCTAATTAAGCTTCTAAGCAACAGGCTTAGTTCTAGATAACCTAGAGGTAGTGCTATTAAAGCTTAAAGTAAAGCCTTATATGCTAACACTACCTTTACTAGGGCCTACTACCTAGTAACCTAGAACACTAAGCAACACTGCTAAAATATTAGCTTAATTAATGCTAATATCTAACTAGATTAGGTAGCACTACAGTTTATCTCTAGCTTTAATTATTAAGATAGTGTAGTAGTTTAAAAAGGGAGCTAATATAATAGTGCATTCCTAGGTGCTTATAGCAGCTAAGATAGTTAAGCTTTAAGTAGTAAATAAAGCTGCTTCTAAGCGTAAAGCACATAAAAGGAAGTAGATCTAGTATAGAGGAACCCTATCACAGCAAGAGGCAGAGGAAATAATAGCTGCACAAGAGGTGGTGGTGCAGGCAGAGGCAGAGAGGCGTAAGGAGAGGGTGCGAACAGGTGGTAGTAGAGAGGGTTCTTAACACTGTGGGAGGTGTGGTCAGGCTGGGCACAATAAGCGCACATGTAAGCAAGATACTGTAGACAGAGTGGATTAATTTGACGTACTGTGAGCCACAGCACGACGTTGTGGTGTTGAGTTATCTGCGTGTCAAGGTGGGTGGCTGCATAAGGTGGCCGGCTCAATTGCCTGGCCGACTCAATGGCCGATTACGTTAACCTTAATTCG